AGTTACTAAAAAGAACTCTTGCATGTTTCCCTTCTTCTTTTGCCTCCAGGTGACATTATGCAGTATGCAGCAGTGTGTCACGCTCAAAGAGGCCAGCTCAAGTCTTTCTCGTGTTCGGAGACACTGCTTGATGACAGCAGTTTGATGATTCCTTAATTAAGCTGTATGACAATGTCGCAGCCAGGATCGAAACCCGCATTAAACAGCATCTCAACGAGCAGTGGTACACACATCTGTCAGTTTTCATGAGCGTAACTCCATTTTCCTACATAGAAAATTAACATTAAATGTATATTTTTGTACATTAAAACTAGTGATAGGATGAAAGAGCATCTTGGATTTGGATTAAATTATTTCACCTAATTGTTTTTAATAGCTTTTATTATTTCCTTATTAAGCAACAGTGTGCCCCAGACCTGTTGTGGATTAAAGTTTTGTCATGATCCCTGGCTCTTATTTTCTTGACACTTCCTGTTTCACCCTACTCTCACTCCAGGTCACTTTACCTCATCACACCAAATTTCTTCACCTGTGCAAATTGAATTCACCTGTGTATGCCCTGTTATAAGCAGTTCCATTGTTCAAAGGAGCTGCCAGATTGTCCTGACTGTGTGCCTGATCTGGTTTCACAAAGGTGACCGGACCGGACCGGACCGGAAGTAGAGTTCTGATTATTAAAGATCTTGGTTAAACTACAAAAAATCGTGGTAATGTGCTTTCCATTATATTGCAAGTGTAGGTGCCACTTCTGTCCCTCGTCAGTGTCACTCCTAAAGCATGTTTGGTTATTTGGTGATGTTTTTCTTATGAATTCATTCACCATCTCCTTCAGATAAAAAAAAATAGATGCAGAAAATGTGTAGTGTAAAGGATGGGGAGGTATGGGAGTGTCTGTGGGGAAGGTCTTTAAAGTGCACTCTTGCTGGACATTAGCATTGTTTCACTGTAAGCTTTGCCTTCAGGTGGTTGTCGGATCTCTCTCTGAACCACATCAGCCTGGAGGGCGTCACATTCAGTGAGGCAGCAGAGCTCACGCAGAGCAGCCCCAAGGAGGTGCAGCTCATTAACTCACAGCCCAAAGGTTGTGTGTGTGTGTGTGTGTGTGTGTGTGTGTGGTTCCCCTGGAGAGTTGCTGGGACCCTTTACGTTTGTTGTTTGCATATGCAAATGTGATTAACTATCCTATCACCATTCACCTGCTCTGAATCATTAAAAATGCAATCGATCTCAAGGGGTGCGATCTCAAGGGGTGAACAGTGCCTTTTTTATTCTTTTAGCATGTGTCACTAGGTTCTAATATTTTGCATACATACATACATATACAGTATATATCTCCTATGAAACTAAGTAGACAAAGGGAAGATGAGGAAAAAAGCTAGTCACAACTGTCCTTTTAAAATTCTCTGTAGTAAACTTTATGCTGGTCATTTAGACATACTTGATGGGAAATGGCCTTATTGGATTCTTGCCATAGTTGGATGAGACTAGCAATATCAAATAACAATGCTGCCTTGCCACTCTTGTATTGGTTTGCTAAATGAGAAGCACAAAAACTGAAACCAGGGAAACTGTGACCCTGGATCAGTACAACAGTAACAAAATACACCTACAAGAACCTCCATATTACAATAACCCATATGTTATATCTTGTTTGTTGGTTTAGTTTATATATATATAAATCGTATGTGCAACAGTAGTGTTCAATCCTGGTGCAAAGTTAAGCTAACTCGCTACTGGCTCTAGTCTTAGTCCTCTAATTTTATCATGTTAACATGACAGTGGTGTCAATTTTCTAACCCTTGGCTAGAAATCTATTGATTGGATTTCCAAAATATCTAAGGTTTAACACCTTCAAACAAAAGAACAATACTTTTGGACTGTATGACCATATTAATAATGTTCTGGTATAAGAGTAAGTGACTCTTTTTTTTTTCTCTCTCTCTCTCTCTCTCCAGTGCCCCTCAGTCCCAGCACTGTGCACTCTCCCATGCTGAGGAATTACAAATCCCAGACCTTGGTGACAGACAGCCAAGCTAGAGATGATGGCCTGGCTGAAATCATCTCAGTCATGATGACACTAAAGACCAATAACAGGCTGCACGTCCCCCAGGAAGTACAAGTTCTCGGTACATGGGTACAAATCATGCCAATCAAATATTTTGGTGAAACTATCTTATTTGATATATAAACTGAACATTTAACCCTTAAAAGTCTTGAAATATTTTTGGCAGCTTTTTATGGTTTTGCGTACCTTTTCTATACCACATCCAGACATGTTTAACATGCCAATGTTTGGTGTCATTTTCTTCAGCAGAGCTTTGTTTATTTTATTTTTTTACCTGAATTATTTTTACATGTTGACATGCAACATCGATTCCTGGGGGTTAAGGCTCCATATAGAAAATCAGAATTAATGTTGATTCAAACAATTTACTGGCTCCTACAAGACCTTTCTTTCTGTGATGATGGTGGCTTGTCAAAAATAATAGTTACAGGCTTGTAATTTAACCGATACAAGCATACTTCACAGTGTTAATCTTGTACTACGAGTTAACACCTGCTGTATCTTATTGGACTTGAACCCACTGTTGATCCTGTCTGTGTTGGTGTCAGGACAGCTGCTCTCTGCTTCCCTCTTTGAACTGCATAAGACCAGAGGAGATCACTATGGAGCTCCGGAAGATAGCGGGAAATCTGGGCATTGGCATCTCTGAGTCTATGAAATGTTTTAACAGCAATAACACTGATGGCAAGATCTGACAAGATTAGAGAAGAAGAAAGACGGGTTGCTTGACATCACCTCCCTCACACTATCAATGCACTAAGCTGTGCTGCAACCAGTGGTAGAAGTATTCAGATCAAAATTTGCAATACCACACTTTAAAAATACTCCAAGTCAGACTGAATACTAATAAAGCCATTTGCCACTTTAAATGACTGTATATATTCTGATCTGGTTTAATCTATCATATGTAAAATCTAAACGGTAGTGACTGTCAAGTAAATGATGTGAAGAAAATGTAAAGTAAAAGTGGAAAAACTCAACTATAGTATCTGAATTGTACTTGAGCTCAGTATTTGTAATGTAATTGCCAACACTAAATGCAACAAACGCTAGTTCAACACTGAACACGTCCCCTGTTTTATTCTTTAAAACAGTGCATCACTGAAGATGAACTAAAGACCTTTGTCACTGATCGTTCAGGGTGGTGTCAACACTAACCTTTCTAATGGAGGAATCTGCATCAGGAGCCTTGTTCGAGGAGGAGCTGCTGAGAGATGGACGTGTGCATACAGGTATTACAGCTCAATATCCTGTCCAGCACTGCTAAGGCATACATGTGCTCTTTCCGCTTTCTTACTGAGAGTTTGGTCTAGCACTTAACAGCTCCAAGAGTGGACAAACACCCTGTTTAACACTTTGATGCTGAAATTCAACACTGAGACTGGGAAAATTAGGTTTTAGCTGATTTCAAGAAACCATTGCATTGCAAGTCAGCAATGGAAAATGACAAGAACATAATCTGAGACACCCTATACATGAATTAAAATAGAGGAGGGGGAGAGAAATGCACAAAATGGTTACAACATAATTAATCTTTTGACCAAGTTGTCTATCTTTTTACTGTTGGAGGTGGGTGGGATTAACTTTCAGGGTTTCACCTACCAGCAGGCTGTGGAGCGTCTTGACTAAAACTGGGGAGGTAAAGGACGCCACCTGACTGCTGATGATGATAAAATGTTTCTTTACTGGTCTTCCAACTGTTTGTTTTCTTTCTGACTACATTCTTGTCTCTCCTCTCCTCTAGGTGTTAACCTTGGTTGTGGAGAGGGATTTGATTAATCTGCCCAGGGTCCCTCTCGACGCAGACACCAGCAATGTGTCCAAATGTGGTGACACTGTCACTACCAGCCAGTTGAGACTGAACAGCTGCTCGTCCTTTGGTACTTCTCTAGACGATCACTGACTGGCCCAGGGACTACAGCTTTGTCAGTGATGGTAGGACAGAACACATTCATGCACTATAATAAATCAAATTTTCACAATGGATCACTCCCTTAGAAACACAAAAGATTGTCTAGAAGAAGAGAGTCTAGAAACTTACCTCATCCCTCTACAGGAATACAGCAAGGACAACACAACCAGAATCCTCAAAGATCTTGGACTCATGTCCTACAGGTGGACACAAGGGCAGTTCAGGGGATTATTAAATGCTATATGAACAGCATAGCTTTTTTTAAAGTTTAAAGCTCAGTCAGTAAACTAATTGGAATAAACTGTCTAAATTGTTTTCTAAAAAGAAAAGATGATCAGTTTCATTTTCTTGACTTCCCACACCCACCTTCTTTTTCCAATTCCCTTGAATTCCTGACCTCACCATCAACCCATTACCGCCTTCGCCCTTCAGACAACACCCAGGATGTGACTCTGACCAAGAGCACCAATGGCCTGGGCTTCAGCTACCAAGGACTTTGGCAGCCCGGTCTGGACAAAGCAGCTTTTCCCTGGCTCATCGATGGAGCAGGATCCAGGAGGGTGACATCCTCTTGGCCGTCAACAGCCTGTCGCTCAAGGGGCTGTCCTATCCAGTATGTGCAATCACAATCTCATTGCTAATCCTTTTTTTTTTCCATTTTCCCATGTACCCACATTCACTGTCAAGCCATTTTGTAGTGTCTATTACATTTATTTCTTCTGTCTGTAGAAGGTGCTAAGCTGTTCAAGACTTCACTACCTGTGGTTCGACTCTCTCTGTTGGCCTAACCCAGGTATACACTCACAAATCCTGACAGACACATTCTTGCATCAACCTACAATACTTGACTCACTTATTTGTCTGTTTTCTACAGGGGTTCTTCCTTCCATTGATCAGTTCACTGGCATATGAGTGATCCAACAGCGTTACACAGCATCAGTGGCTGTTTAGGAGCAACACCACACTTTCTGATTGATCATGAAGTGATAATGGAGACCGAGGTAAGTGTAGCTAATAAGGCTGTTTTGATCAGTAGACAGGAGCATTGCTCTGATCTTATCAGTGGATTCCAACACTGCAGAGAGGTCGGTGATGTTCCACAGTGTGACATGATATGATTTGACTGGATATGTTGAGCCAGTGGAGTTTTATTTACTGGCTTTGTATTTTCACTTTTTTGTCACTGTCCCATGTCTGTTGACTTGTTGAGTGACATGACAGCACACAAATATGAATATTGGACATCAGCTGATGTGAGATCCCAATGAAAAATGTTTATAATAAGCAGGGTGTAATGTGCTTGAGCAGGTTTGAGACAAAACATCAGATTTTACCTGAGGTGCGGCCATGTTCATGCCTGTTTTCCCAGGATACTGATTCAACAGAAGTAGAAAAGGAGATCGCAAAACTTAGAGGCTGAATATGAGCTACAGGAGTCTGTGGAACTCACAGTCCTGTGAAGAGAATAAGTGGCAAAAAAAGATGAGTAATAACTGCCACAATAAAATCATTCATTCTCTTACTAAATGTGTTGTGCTTTTGGGTCCAGTTCTTTACAAACCTGACAATCATCTAAATCTAATCATTTTCTAAATTAACTAAACATGAGCATTATTATTCTTATGACGGCGTGCAACATTTCAGGTCAAGCAACCTCCATTAACCATGGTATGATCCATTTCATATAAATTGGTCTGAAAGCAAACGTTTTCCAAAATTGTATTACCAATTGTAGCCACAAGGTGGCAGTGGAGTGCCACAAGTGAAAACACTTGCAAAGGAAAAACTTAACTGAGGGCTGAATATTCCTACTTTATTGGGAGGGAAAGTAAATTAAACTTTGCTCTTTTTCTCATCCACATGAAATGCAAACAAAAAGACAAAAAAATGAAGTTTAACAAGGCCACAAAACACTACAGACATGCAAAATTGCTGAATATCACATGACCATGGCAATGAAAGAACCAAATCAACCATATTTAATTTTGTTTGTTTGAGATGGGTATGTAACTGCTCACAAGTGACTGCAAATGTTAATTTAAATTCATTTAAGATCACAATGTGCTCAAATACACAATTCAAACCCTCATTTTCTCACAAAAGCCATTAAAATGAGTTTAACCTGAATATGTATGATCCAAACACTCGGTATCTGGACACACAGGGCAGTACATGCACACATACAATAACACGCACTTCCCTGGGTGAGGAGCCAGTAATGGCCCCTTGTAAATAAGGGTTCCTGTATTTCAGTGAAACACAGTAGTGCATCTGGATCCCATCAGAGCTTGTGTTTCCTTTGCAAATGATCCCAAATGTTTCTAATTATGCCAGTGAAGTCGGCACGAGGCTTTGTAAGTGCGTGCGTGTGTTTGCCTGTGCATGTAATCACCCCAACAGACACACACACCCATACACTGGCCTGTGTTTATTCATGAACAGAGTAACTGAGATGGACAGTGTGGTCTTGACCTCAGCAGTGTCTGCTTAGGTCACTGCACGTGGTGATGACTGAGTGAAAGATGGGGTGGCGATGGATTTTCTCCACCAGTTTTCTCTACTGACATCAGTGTCTCCCTGCTATTCTCAAGTGATTTACAAACCTGTGGGGTGGAAGATGAGATTTTAAGGGTGGCTGAGGTTTCAGGATGAGTTGTGGAATGTGGGGTTAAAATTTAAATCACACTAAATCACACATGAAGGATCTGTAGTGAAAGTACTTATGGTCTTATCCGCAGTGACAAAGACCTTCCTCACATTTGGAGCCATACAGTTGACATATTTTAAGCCAAAAACTGATCATGTAAGACCTGCTGTTTAATGCATGTCATTTGTTTGAATCAAAGAGTGTGGGTGACCCTCTTCACCATGGATTTAGCACACAAAATTTGCAAATGTGAATGTTTGCATTTGCATTGTGTTTCAACTCTGTAGGTGTGTGACTACACACATCAATATTTCATTAAGTGCTATTATGCTGGACATTTTCTCAGGCACTTCAACATAGATGAATATGCTGGAATCGAATCACTGTTAACTGTGCCAAGTGCTGTGTGAGACAATGTTAGAGTGCACCAAAATGCTTTTCTCCCCTTCCATTTGTTAGTTGACTTTTGAAGTTGTATTAGTGAAAACCTTGTTGCTGTTCTTTCTGGGTCAAACCTCCATGAACATAAAATAGTTTGAGATGCCATGACACCAGTCATCCTTATTTACTGTATTTATTGTAACTATTGACTTCAATTCTTAGCATTTGATTTTACCATCCATCGAACTTGAACAGTTGTTCTACCCAATAAAGCTGCATTTGTCTTTCTTTTATATTAACTCGAATTACCACTTTGTGGTCATATGCTTCCACCAACCAGTCAAATTCATGGGTATGGGACAGTAATGAGGTCACAGTGACCTTTGACCAACAAAATCTAATCAGTTTATCTTTGATTCCAAGTTGACACTTGTGCTAAATTTGAAGAAATTCCTTCAAGAAGTTAGTGACATTTTGCATCCACAAGTACATTGTACGGACGGACAGACAACCCAAAAACATAATGCCTCCGGCCGAGGCTGTCGCTGGTGTGGAGGCATAACAGTGGGTCAAAAAAACAAATTGTAATGTCAAGGGCATCATGTTCAATAATTAACCTGTATAGAATTATCACCAAACTCTGCAACTTCCCTCAGCAATGTGGAAAGATCTAACATCTTTTAGCTTTTAGTGCATTGGTTTGTTTTTGGCCTGCAACTTTTGGTTCACCGTGACTGGCCAGTGGGAAAAACAACTCTCATAATGCATCCATGTTGTGGTCTACTACTCCTCTTGCATAAAGGCTTCAATCTAGTATTAACTGCTGGGGAAATATGGCTGACTCAAAGGTTAACAAGTTTCTGAGGATGGATGTAGAGGAAGGGCTGGGCGGAGTGTAACGGAGCAGGGAGAAGGTGAAGTGAAGTGGTTTGCTTTCAAGTGTCATACTAGTGCTTGATTTCCAGAACTTCTATATGGTAGCTTTGAAGTTAAATATCACAATTTAGTTCTTAATTCAGAGCACTGTTTCAGAATCTGCTTTATTGGTCAGGTGTGTCGGACACATGAGGAATTTGACTCTGGTACATCAGCATTCATCTCTGTATGCACATATCCCCATGCAAGGGGCAAGTAAACAGTAAAACCAGCATAAGGCTGTGCAATATAACATAATAAGCAGTATTAACAAGCAACAAACAGTGCAAGCAATGCAAAATAAGCAGTATAAACAGGCAGTAAACAATGCAGACAGACAAAGGAATACTCATTGTGAAACGTGATAAGTAGGAATAAAAATAGAGCACTTAAAAAAAATAGATACCTGTACGGATCTGTATAATATGTACAATGTACAGTATATTTACAGGTATTTCACTGGAGGAAGGTATTGAACCGAGCTTTTGAAAAATGTGAAGAACTTTCACTCTAGTTTTCACTTCACAAGGCATTAGTCAGACACAGAACACACAGGGTGCAGGGTGTCCCACCCACAGACTAGTTTTAGATGGTAGTGTGTACTCTACTCTTTCACAAAGAACAGCATTATACAGTAAGTGGGACTCAAACCAATGGTCTGGTCTGACCTTGTCCTTACCTTTTTGTAAGGAGAATGTGGCATATGAGATTCTAGCTCCTGAAAGCATAAAATTTGCTGATTCATACTGTGTCTCCAACACATGGATATGGATAAACATCTCTGCACCTGAGGTGGTCACATGCTAGAGGTCTATGAACCCCAAAGTAACTTGAAAAATACCACCCAGGCAAATGGGCACAGTGCAGTTTGGCAGTCCTCAGACCTCTCTCTGTATTTATAAGGCATTGTGAACAATTCACATTTTCCACTGTAGGCACCGTAGACACACAGCCTTGTCCAGAGGCAGCGATGGTTGTTGGCTGATTGTGTATATTTGGCAGTCTACCTGTATCTTTGATGTCACCTCTTGCTCAACTTTTTCCTCAATTAAACTGATTGTGCTAATGTGTAAAGTGGGCTGCCATGACTAAAGGTAAGCTGTGATGTTTTTGAGAAGGGCCTGAAATCCACCACCATGACTGCAACACCACTGACACAAACTTCAGGCCAGGAAAAGCCTCCAAGCTCTTTTTAAAACTGAAGGGGAAATCATCAAATTTCATTATTACTGGTGGGTGAAAAGGAATATCCTAATTACAGTTATATCCTGAATAAAATGGGTCAGTATTTAAAAATGAAAACAATGGTAATTGAACATTTTTAGGAAGCAGCCAACCAAAAAAAAAATCAACATTTCTGAGGGGGTTGAAAAGGCAAGGAGTTTGGAAAGATAACTGAAGGCACATCAGTGATAAGAAAGCGAGCAAAAGAGAGTCAAAGTTCAGTTTCAAAAGGATGTAAGGTGAAAGAGTATTCACATGGACACACTCACTCACACACACTGTTTAAAGGAATGTGAGAATACCAGAAGATATAGGAGAGTTAAGTCCCTTTCAGACATGTTACCTGGGAATTTGCGGGCTACATGTAGCACAGTTGATTTTATGGCATTCAGACATAGAGCTGCCACGTGCAAAATTCCCAGCAAGGCTTTGTTCAAACACAGATTTCCAACATCAAACGAGGCAAACACTGAGGATGAGCAGTCCTTTGATTTCCATGTTGGCTCAGTTTCCAGCCATTCTGCATCAGCTCACGCTGCTAAACCTGTGCTTTCCTGAACCCATTCAAAACTTTGTACTAACAAGTGATATTACATTTTTTTTATCTATATGCACAAATTTTACTGCCTGTCTAAAATATTGGCCACTAATAGAGAGTGGTCGAGCGAGCTAGAGAGTGAACGAGGAGGGGGATCAGCGTCAACGAGAAACTGAGAAAATAGTATTGTGCATTAAACTGTAGCACAGTCATCATCTTGACTTCACTCACCAGCAATCTGATC